TAGGGGATGTATTGATACACGTGTGTGTGGCGACAGCAGCTGGTTGCCTATATGATCAATCCATTTAACACTGCAGGACTGTATAAGCTTAGTCTTTTGGAGCTTCGCAAATATCACATTAACCTAGTTCACCGCGTACACACACACACACACACACACACACACACACACACACACACACACACACAGCTGTTCACGGGCATCTGTTATTATTGCAGCGATTTAACCGAAGTAGTCTACTTCCACCTAACTCAGAATGACTACTAGCCCAGTTCCCCTGCCTGTAAAGGGGTTTGATTGACATGTCTCATACAGGTGTGCCGTGACAGACAAACAGCAGATGCCGATTTTATCTCGGAAATCTGAGCACTGATAAAAATAAATAAATAAATAAATAAAAATCAGATAGCAAACGCTGTCTGAAAGCTTTTTTCACCTTCTTTTTTCAGATGACTTACCAAGCAGCGCGCAGACTAGAAAGAGCGCACCGGTTGCCATTGTATGTGTGTGTGTTGCTCCGCTGATCCACTTTTAATATCCCCTCCTTTTAGATGAGAAGCCGGTGGCGTCTGACAGTGTGATCAGCTGCTGGTCCTGAACCAGAAAATAAGGAGGTCTACAAAACCCCGGAGGCAAGAAGAAGAATAAAAAAGCTTCCTTGAGAGTCAAATCCACAGCTGGCGGCTTTCCAAATGTGCGACCCACCTCTCTACAACGTCCTTCTGTTTAAAATAAATAAATAAAAAGCCTCCGATGTCGTTTCCTCTCGCCTTTACCCTCACCTATCTGCTTTTATCGCTGACGATGAAGTGTGCGTATGCCCAGCGCGTAGGCGACCCAACCCACTCACTCGCAGCACCGGCTCACTACGCATCCGAGACTGCGGAGGCGATTCGCACTCGCAGCCTCCTCAGTAAAAACTAAAAGTCCGGCGTGACTCCTGCGTATCTGGATACACGAAGGGAGGCGGGGAGTGCTGACGGTTTTGGGAGTCAGACTGGAATAAGTCCCGGATAAATTTCCTTCCCCTCACTGATGGGAGCGCAGGATCACGAGCAAGCAGTCCAAGCAGGCTCTGTTTTTTTCCACGGCAAATCCCGTAGACCTTATAATCAATCTCTCCACTATCGCTCCGCAGAAAGCCCAATGGGCGGGCGCTCCAGATGAGGCAAGCAAGGCTTTATACTCTGTATAAAAAAAATCACATCAGATTGATCACAATACTCTAACCCAAAATAAGTGATTTGAAGTTGTTACTGCCAATTCAAGTGGGCATTGTGTCCTAATTTAATGCGTCTAAATCTTGACAAGATTATTAAAAGATTTTACGAGCTCAAAAAAATGAAGCAGTTCATCCCCAGAAAGAAACGACCCAACCCGTTGCTTTTCCTCTCTGGAGGTTATTTCCTTGTTTTCTGCCTGACCAAGGACTTTGGCAGTTTGAAAACTTGAAAGCGTGTTGCCTTGCTCCACCCCTAAAACCACGCCCCGGCCGTGTGGGTCTGGGGTGCAGTGGGACAAGGACGCATTTGCATTTGTTTGTTGAAATTCTAGTTCAGGCCGTTGATAGATTGAATAGGTTAATCGGAGTGGAGGGCAATTAAGCCCCTTATGCTACTAGTTTTCCCAGCTTTTTATTTGCAGGGTAGAGTTCAACCACTTTTTTGAGGTAGACACGAATTGTTCGCGCAACATCTGTTTACTGCATAAACGCACGATGATTATCACTTGAAAAATAAAATATCAGGCTATTCTTTGATGGTGTTTGTTTATTTTGCGCCGATCACAAATGTCGCCTTCTCATGTATAATTTACAAAGCAGTCTGCGTGTTATAGACAGATTTTGTACCTCTCCTTCCCCTCACCCCACTTCTCCATACACCACCTGCGTTACACACAACTGGCAATCAACATAATGAGGTGCCGCTCTGTTTGGGAACTGCAGAAAAATATCTGAGAAAAAAACCGCAGTTCACCTTTCATGGGTTGAAACTCCATCCCTCTTTGAATCAGATTATGAGAACATAAACCACGCATCGCTTTGACATAAGCACAGATTTATTGATTTTCGTGACGCTGCTCCATTATTAGCAGGATCTAAAATAGACAGGGTGAATGGGAGTTTGCTGGGAGACAGAAAATAGCACAAGTGAAATAAAACTGCTCGGGTGAGAAGCTGTGAAGTGAGAGAGCTGCTCTCTGAAAAATTGAATTGAAAAGCCCAAAAAGCTCTAACTTAGTAAAACTCTAAGCTCCCTCCTGTGTAGCACATAAATAAATGAGTAGGCCTTTTGCATGTGCGTACAAAAAAAAAATGCAATTGCAGTGGACCCATCTGTTATTTTCTTCATCAGCTGGGAATTGCAAGTTCCGAAACCGCCTGAATGTAACATAAAAAAACATTTTTTTGGAAAGCAGTAAAATGATTCTCTTCTTCTTTCGCCTTCGGATTTGAGCTCAAATGAAACTTAACGAACACGGTGTGGGCCCTGAACAACAGCCAGAGACAGAGAGATGTTTACAGAGCACACGTGCGTCAATAAACCGCAACATGACATCTAAAAGGCGAGAGTTTAATGGGAAGAATACATCTGTTTGTCTCTCCCTCTGTGTGCCATGATATTAAGAGGGAAAAAAGATACATCTTTTAGAGTGCTTATAGAGCAAACAAAGGCTTTAGCAGACGCTGCTGCCAAGAAAATGTAAGTGAGAATGGGATTAAACACCGCTATGAAGCATGTGGACTACTGCCTCAGCTTTTCCAAAGGTTTGTCCAGGTCTAGTGCTGCTGAGTTAATGCACATCCAAAAAGAGCAGGCTAGGTAGGGCATGTGTGTTACTCCTGATCTACATTTTTGCTCCACACTTAAAATTAGCTCAGTTCTCCGCAGAGCCCTTATTGCACAGCCAAGTGAGGCCACGTTTTTGTACAGGCAGCTAAAGCCAGAGTAGCATTGTTTGAGCCTAGCATTATGTCAGCGCTAAAGACAAGTTCACCTTTGGCCCAATTGCACCTGTTTTCACAACTGTCGAACACGTGCTTATAGAAGAATAAAAGCTTGAGGGGCATGTTGAGTATAGTGTGTGCTAGGGATCACAATAGGTCTCCATGGAAACAGAGAAGTCTGCATTATGTGTACTTCATAACAGGGCCCTTATAGATGATGCCTTGAGAGCCACAGCTTTCTCATTAGTATCTTTCAGTTGTTCCGCACTGTGTGACACTTGTACAGGCCCACTTATTATTACTTTTATTAATACGGACTTACTATTTCAGTACCCTGTGGCATTATCCATTGAGGTGGTGTCAGCAAGGTTACGTTGTATAGCTGAGAGGCACATTGTGGGGAACGAGGGAGTTTTGTTCACTTATTTCATCATACTCAGATTTTCATACAACGTCTCGAAAATATATGAATGATTTATTAGGTTTCTCTGAGCATTTTTTTCCTACTGCAACATATGAATGCGTCAGTATTGCACAGATGATAGTGTAAAGAGGCAGTTCGCTCACACACGTGCACGCAAACATTTGGATCCTTTAAATGGAAATGCAGGCACGCAGACGTCGTTGTCGCTTTAAATTACAGAAGAAAGCTGCTTTTTGAGATAATAAACTTGCATATGAAAAGAGGAGTCCCATAATAGCATGGAATCAGATGTGCACCCAGCCAACTTGCTGATGAATCCTGACTGTAATATGGGGTACACAGAGGATACACTGACTCTGGTTACCTAAATGATCTTTGACATAAGTGGGAATTGG